TATCCTAGACCACTACTAAGGAAACTCTTGCCGAGGAAAGTTTGACTAGGAATACAGAGGGCCACCTCAGGAAATTTAATTTAGTAAATCATGAGGCAGTTGGGTTCCAAGCACCAGCTATGTCTAAGACGGAAAAATAAAAAATGAAAGGTTTTAAGGTAAGACACAGGAATAGAAATCCACACATGAGCACAGTAGCCTTGCAAAAAATGCAAGGTTAAATATAAACGTGTCCGGACACTAAAAGTAACCTTAACACCAGACCAAACCTAGCCTTTACTCCATACCTCGACACTAAGCTTAACCCTAACCTTAATCTCTCAGAAATATAGCGCAAGGCCGCCTGTATATCCGGGTTCCTTTTACCTTGTCCCACTGGTATCCTCAACGAAGACAAGGATCTACAATGGCAACTGCTTGCTCATTAAACGGTTATCAGATAACCTGTCCTAAACTGCAAATAAAGTAATACTATGCAACCATTTGTCTGCTATTTGTTGGTTGAACATTATTGTGCCGAAAGTAGTCCATTTCTTCTGGAGTTTCGATGGAGCGTTCGTTACGCCATGTGATACTTTGGCAAATCTCATTAGGCGGACTTTCTGAGAAAAATACCCTAATTAGCATTTATCATAAAATTTCAAGGAAATCTTTAAACCTAGGTTGACGTTCACAGAATAACTCGAAAATAGTACCTACAAAAATGAAGGACAACTGGTTTTACGTATGGATGATTAAGTACTAGCTGCCATGCAGCCGCCGACGTGGGCTGAAGATCCTCAGTGCTAAGTCAAAATAGAAGTGCTAATTCCGCCCCATAAAGAGAAAGTACCGGTGCATGTCAAAATAATACTTGACCTTGCATATTTGTCATCTTAGCCATCAGAGAGGAAACCCAGTAAGTCAAGTGGATAGACCGCTGGGCCCGTTGGATCCGAGTTCAGCGCACGAAGGCGTCAGCAACAGGGGTTGGGGAATCACTAGCTGAAAACGATTGATAAGCCAGAGATGCCCATTTAGGTGTCCCAAGCTCTGTCGATTTTATTTTTCGACGTGACATAGTTATACCACAGCCCGACTGACTCTGAACTTTAAGATAAAACGGAAATATCCACTTCGAACCTGCGATCAAAATGGTCGGCAACAATAGGTTGTGTAAACCCGCCTTCGCGACCGGCAACTCCAGATTAGTATAAAACGGAAACGGTGGTAATAAGGCTCCTTACAGGTGGGGCAGTATGGCAATTAGTATGAAAAGGAAGAGCTAACAATAATGGAAGTTTTAAATAAGAAGCTTGGTGTTTAGTTAAGCTATTAAGTTTACGAAGCAGCTAAGAGTTTTAAAAGCAGCGTCGCAACAACTGTGTCGCAAAATGTCCCGCCAATCGCTAACGGCCGCCATCCAAATAATTTCCTTACAACCGTAACCAATCTATAATGGCTATAGCAATTAACTGACTAATAATTAAATAAAATATCAAACAAATAAATGAATACTAATATACGTGTTCAAAAATTCATGAATACGACTCGATTTTCCGAAGATCTTCTTGCTTTTCATCATATCATCTCGGAATGCAACTTACTTCACTTATCCACTAATATAATTATTTAAGTATGGAATTGAAATATATCTAACCGACGGTTACAAAATCCTAATCCTAAGCAAAAATCATTATTAATGGGCGTAGTAAATCGAAAAAAAGCACATAGTCCATAAATGCCTTAATGTCTCCCAAAAAAACAAATCACAAATCAAAACTTTCCTCTCCGTAATCAAGGCAGCACTACCATGATACAAAACAAACGACGACCCTTAAAGCGTGCAAGACACAAAAAGTTTGTTTAGTCTTTGCGAATAATTAACCCAATCACGGCAAACCAGTTCGGTAACAGATACCGTTTGGGATGCTGAAGAGGCTACAACGCGCAGAGGGTTACTTCCTGTAGTTACAAGATAACGAACCCAAAAACAGACCTACTACAACAGTTATGCACATCAAACCTAGTGAGGTTATACAAGTTATCTTCACCGATAAGGCATTTACATCCATTAGGCTTGAGGTAACTGACTTCCCTCATCCAGTTCCTTGAACGAGTAACAACAACTTTGATAGTTTTATGTTAGGTGAAAAAGCACACTAGCTTCTTAATAATGCCAAGAAGTTGAATGGAAAAGATAGGTAATCACACTGGCGATGTGCGTCCCGTCAGCGTTCTGAAGAAAATACCGGGGATCAAAACCGTCAAGTCATACTCTCGTAGATTATGAACATTACTGTTGAGGGTCCTGTAGTGGGAAATTAAACACGGCCTGCAAACCGAAAAACATACAGATGCTTTCTAACCGCTCTCTGTGCGTGCTTTAGTGTGCCTACCACTGCGGCTGGATTTGAGTAGGAGTCTAAAAATCCTGACTGTTTAACTGTATCTTCCACAACCAGTTTAGCTGCTTTGCCATTTCTACCTGGAACTAGCATGTTTACACACGTTTTTTACATTAAAAAATGAAATATGGCCTTCTATGCCGGAAAGTTACTTGGAATTGCACGGTTAAACAGAAATTTAGCCATTCTAACAGTTTGTTAAAAGGCTAACTCGTTCATGGGTTACATATACGTTTGTAAGTTACTTTTCTCGATTACGCCCCAATTTAATTTATTTCAGACTGGCAACGACGTCTATATTGGACCAAGTCTGACAAAGTGTTTTGAACGTTTTCTCCTTGTAATGACTAAACCAAACTTGTTCACGCCTTTGCTTAAACAAGTGCTGACAGGCATTCCTGTGGTAACCTACCTTGTGCATTTGGCTCGGATTGTAAGCCTTTTCCTTCTCTCGCGTCACCCATCCATGGTTTTGTGGTGCAAGGAAAGCATAATTTGGTTTCTTCTGTTGTAGAACTGATGGAAAGCCAGCTTTCTGCATGTTTTCATAGGTTGTCCTATGAGAAGAAATAAGAAGGCAGCGTTAAGTATACGCGACAATTCCACTGTTGCAGACAACATTGCCCTCCTTGCGCCACACAGGATGGGCGCAGCAGATGTTAGTTGCGCGACCTCCATCGCACTCCATCCTTCTTTAGCGACCTTGCTGCACTGGTAAGCGAAGACCAAGAAAATTGAACTGGGCACCCAGGCAGTAACCGACAGAGACAAGTAACTGGTCTGCGCATTTCATACACGACCTGGTTTCCAACTCCACACGTACCAGAAGGGTGGGGCTTTCGGACAACACCCATGAAAGATGACATA